TATTTAGGAGGGACTCTGAGGGCAATCATCGTGGATTTTTTAAAATATATTGAGGAGGGACGCTGAGGGCAATAATCATGGATTTTTTAAAGAATATTTAGGAGGCATCTGAGGGTAATAATCGTTGATTTTTTAAAGATATATAGAGGCTACACTGAGGGCAATAATCGTAGATTCTTTAAAAAATATTTAGAGGCTACACTGAGGGAATTAATCGAGGGTTTATAAAAAATATTTAGAGGCTTCTCTGAGGGCAATAATCGTTGATTTTTTAAAGAATATTTAGGAGGCACACTGAGGGCAATAATCGTGGATTTTTTAAAGAATATTTAGAGGCTTCTCTGAGGACAATAATCGTGGATTTTTTACAGAATATTTAGAAGGCACACACAGGGCAATAACCGAGGAGTTTTTAAAGAATATTTAGGGGGGACTCTGGGGGCAATAATTGTGCATTTTTTACAGAATATTTAGGAGGCGCACTAAGGGCAATAATCGTGGATTTTTAAAGAATATTTAGAGGCTACTCTGAGGGTAATAATCGTGGATTTTTTTAAAGAATTTTAAGAGGCTACTCTGAGGGCAATAATCGTGGATTTTTTAAAGAATATTTAGAGGCTACTCTGAGGGCAATAATCGTAGATCCTTTAAAATATATTTAAAGGGTACTCTGAGGGAATTAATCGTGGTTTTTTAAAGAATATTTAGGAGGGACTCTGAGGGCAATTATCGTGGATTTTTTAAAAAATATTTAGGAGGGACGCTGAGGGCAATAATCATGGATTTTTTAAAGAATATTTAGGAGGGACTCTAAGGGCAATAATCGTGCATTTTTTAAAGAATATTTAGGAGGGATGCTGAGGGCAATAATCATGGAGTTTTTACAGAATATTTCGGAGGAACACTGATGGCAATATTCGAGGAGTTTTTAAAGAATGTTTAGGGGGATTCTGGAGACAATAATTGTGGATTTTTTACAGAATATTTAGGAAGCACACTGAGGGCAATAATAGTGGAGTTTTTAAAGAATTTAAGAGGGACGCTGAGGGCAATATTCGTTGATTTTTTTTTTTAATATTTAGGAGGGACTTTAAGGGCAATAATCGTGAATTTTTTAAAGAATATTTAGGAGGGATGCTGAGGGCAATAATCATGAATTTTTTAAAAAATATTTAGAGGCTATTCTGAGGGCAATAATCGTGGATTTTTTAAAGAATATTTAGAGGCTATTCTGAGGCAATAATCGTGGATTTTTTAAAGAATATTAAGAGGCTACTCTGAGGGCAACAATCGTAGATTTTTTAACGAACACTTAGAAGGATCTCTGTGGGCAATAATCTTGAATTTTATGAACTTCCACATTCCCCACCTTCCCTCGTTAAAGCACACACAATTTTCGAACTACATAAATCAAATTTCAATGTACAAAAGAGAAGAGACAACTCTAAAGGATGGGGAACATGGTGTCAACCCTTTTTTCAACACACAGAAAAATATCCTCACGCACAGCGTTGTGTTGGAGATTAAAATGCGTATAAATCCTGCAAAAACCCAAGAAAACAATCATTACACCAAAATAACACGAAATTATATGCCGCCAAATTGATTTTGACCCCATTCCCCTTGCCCCAACACCCAGTGTCACAGACAATCCTTTTACAATGTCATCAAGGATGTTGTTGCCGCCATCTTAAGTAGCCCGGCCGTCAAGAACATATGGCTTGACAAATATTACAACATTAAAAGACCTCCCCCATCATCTTCCATTCATTTACTGATTGACTTGTGTTATCCTCTATCACCCGGTTTCTTGAGAGGGGGAATAAGGACGAAATATCAAAAACTTTCACTCTCCATTTTTTTTTGTTTTTGTGACTAAAAATCATAAAAAATAAATATGTTTGAAATTTGAAAAGGGTCGTCGGTCAGTCGTTTGTTGTTTAGCTTTGTTTGTCAAGTGTCCGGTTTAAAGGAGTACTACACATCCTGACTCTTTTGTATGTTAGGCCATATTTTCTCTCCCCTCCCCTTCCAACTTTGAACTACTTATTTGTTTCAAATGAAAAAAATGGTTTGAAAATGGGGATTTTTGTATAGATTTTTTTGTTTGTGTGTTAGATTACGTATCTGACGGAATCCTTTGAAATTCGAATCAAGTGTTGATTAGTGTCAAATTAAAAGCTTTGCCAAAGCAGATTTTCATTAAAAAATTGATCAACAAATGAATGAAATGAGATTTTGGGCGGATAGAATTACATTAAGGGAATTAAACGAAAGAAAAGTTTTACAAAGACCATCAGGACTATACTCGTGTATTCTTTCAAGGACCATCGGAGCTTTTGTTGAAGACCTTCTGGCCTTCTATGAGAAGACCTTCTGGCCTTCTATGAGAAGACCTTCTGGCCTTCTATGAGAAGACCTTCTGGTATTCTATGAGAAGACCTTCTGGTCTTCTATGAGATGACCTTCTGGTCATCTATGAGAAGACCTTCTGGTCTTCTATGAGAAGACCTTCTGGCCTTCTATGAGAAGACCTTCTGGCCTTCTATGAGAAGACCTTCTGGCCTTCTATGAGAAGACCTTCTGGCCTTCTATGAGAAGACCTTCTGGCCTTCTATGAGAAGACCTTCTGGCCTTCTATGAGAAGACCTTCTGTCATCTATGAGAAAACCTTCTGCTCTTCTATGAGAAGACCTTCTGCTCTTCTATGAGAAGACCTTCTGCTCTTCTATGAGAAGACCTTCTGCTCTTCTGTAAGAAGACCTTCTGCTCTTCTGTAAGAAGACCTTCTGCTCTTCTGTAAGAAGACCTTCTGGTCTTCTGTGAGAAGACCTTCTGGTCTTCTATGAGAAGACATTCTGGTCTTCTATGAGAAGACCTTCTGCTCTTCCATGAGAAGACCTTCTGCTCTTCTATGAGAAGACCTTCTGCTCTTCCATGAGAAGACCTTCTGCTCTTCCATGAGAAAACCTTCTGCTCTTCTATGAGAAGACCTTCTACTCTTTTATGAAAAGACCTTCTGGTCTTCTGTGACAAGACCTTCTGTTCTTCTATGAGAAGACCTTCTGATCTTCTATGTGAAGCCTTCTAATGGTTCATTATGAGAATACCTTCTGATCTAATAGATCTATTATAGTTTCGAAAGCTATTAGTTCTTAAATATTTTTAATATATATCGTACGTTGTTTTTTAAATAATTTGTTCATGAAAAACTTCTCTAAAAATGCTAACTGAACAACAATAATAATTATTATTAAAAGAAATCGTTTCAGATGTACCACTTTGTGTTGGAACGCCCTCTGTACAATACAGAGCAAACGACAAGAAACAAACAGCTACAATAACATTTCTGTAAACTCATATGACCAGATGGCTGAAGTACAAACCGAAGATTAGCGTTGCCACTTTTTGGTATTTTTCCGTATGCAGGGGAAAAGTTTCGGGAATGTTGGTCTGATTATTTCTAGAAGATGTAAGAGCCTGAAGATTGTTTTTGGATTTATCTTCGCTAGAACAAGTCATTGAAATCAAGTCTGTTCACTTATAAAAGTGATTTTTGCGAACCTATGGTAAAAAGTTATCCTTTTGATGCTTTTGAGAAAGTACCGAGAAATAACTTTCAGTTTATAAAACATCCTCGGTGGAATAGAAATTATGATAATTTGAAACAATCTTATGTCCACTTCAACCGCTGATTATTATTCGACGACTATCCAATTTGATAGACATTCACCTATACCCGGACCCACATAGACAATTTTCTGTCACAGATTGTAGTATCCATTACGAACTGCAAATACGAAATTGAAACCATTCCGGTAAATAATGTCGCTAAAATTATCAAAATACCGAATATAGGGAAGTACCGTTATATGGGGGATATACGAAGACCTGGACCTGCATAGGCAATTTTCTGTCACAGGCTGTAACTTTCATTACGAACTCTAAATACGTCACTTGAAACTACTACGGTGAATAATGACGCTAAGATCATCAAAATACCGAATATGGGGAGGTACCGTTATATGCGGGCTATACGAAGACGTGGACTTGCACAGACAATTTTCTGTCTCAGGCTGTAGTATACATTTCGAACTTCAAACACCAAATTTGAAACAGTTCCGGTGAATAATGTCGCTAAATTCATCAAAATACCGAATATCGGGAGGTCACGTTATATGTGGGCTATATGAAAACGTGGACCTACATGGCCCAGTTACGAATTACAAATATGAAATTTGAAACAATTCCGCTGGGTAATGTCGTTAAAATCATAAAAATACCGAATATAGAGAGGTGCCGCTTATGGGGGCTACACTGGACCTGCATAGACAATTTTCTGCCACAGCTGTATTACTCATAACGAATTACAAATATGATATTTAAACAATTCCGCTGGATAATGTCGTTAAAATCATAAAAATACCGAATATAGAGAGGCACCCCTTATGAGGGCTACACTGGACCTGCATAGCCAATTTTCTGCCACAGGCTGATGATCCTATATAGCTCATTTTCAATATCAATCGTCCTGCAGACCGAACAAACATCTCAGTAAAATTTTAGCAACCTACTTCAATTCATTCGGAAGCTAGAGCTATTTTCACAGACGGGCAGACGGCGTTAAATCGACAGAGAATTTTATGTTGATCAAGAGGGTCAAAAATTTATATTTCGAGGTGTAATGCAATTTTTTTAATAATTATATGAAGCATGGTTATTTTCAATTAATTATACCATGGCCCTAATATAAGTCCCTCTCTCCTATAAATTCCCAAGTTTTGGGAATTTCTGAACTAACAAAACTAGTTCCATTGCTCCATTTTAATGAATGCTCCTGCTGTTTACATTTTCCTTCGTTTTCGGCACTATGCCTTATACTCATTCGTAAACAAACAACAGAAGTTTTAGACCATTTTGTTTCTTGGCTATTTTTATCAAGCATTGTGTTTTGCCCTTCACATTTGACACATTTGGAACGTTTTTAATTTTAGTTTACACACATCTGCACGTGGAAAAAGACAAGCGGAGGAGACTTCTCAAAGAAATAAATATTGCAAATAAATTAAATAAAAACGTAGTGCCTTTCCAAATTCGAAAATTTATGGAGTAAACATTTCAAATACCTTGAAGGACAAAAGCAACTAATTCAACATGGTAAGTTTAATGACTTATCTGCAACCCAACGATTGTAATGCATTGCACCGATCTCTCTTCCAGGGTAAACAAAAGAAAACACAAAAGGCGAAAAAGCAAAGGACTGCCCAGCTGGCACGTCTGCTGAAACCCACCGACTCACGGATCAAAGAAGAGTTGCGTAAAAAGCGCAAGAAGCCCATCGATCCACTACAAATCAAAGTCAACCAAGCGCCCCAACAAAGTTCCGCCCTGTTCTTCCAGTACAACACACAACTCGGTCCGCCATATCACATTGTGTTGGATACGAATTTCATCAACTTTAGCATTAAGAACAAATTGGATATCATCCAGGGTATGATGGATTGTCTGTATGCCAAATGTATTCCGTATATATCGGATTGTGTACGAGCGGAATTGGAAAAGCTAGGCAATAAATATAAGTTGGCCTTAAGAATTATATCCGATCCAAGATTTGAACGTTTGCCCTGCTTGCATAAAGGCACCTATGCTGATGAATGCATAGTGAATCGGGTGCAGCAACATAAATGCTATATTGTGGCGACAAATGATAAGGATCTAAAGAATCGTATCCGCAAAATACCCGGTGTACCGATAATGTATGTGGCGGCGCATAAATACGCCATCGAACGTATGCCCGAAGCATATGGTGTCAAGGCGTAGTAGTTTTAATTGTATTTTAGGGCCCAGACGTGTTAAATAATAAAAATAAATTGTAAAAAAAAATCAAAGTGAATTTAACAGCGGATGTTAAGGATCTAGTGGAAAACTTATTGAACCAATAAAAATATTTATTAGTTTTTTTTTCAGCTGACTGCCCAAATTCTTAAAATTGCAACAAATTAGGATGAAGGTTTAAATTAAGTATATACTCGACTGTGTTGGAAAAACCTGAATTTTTTACCGAATATAGGACTTTCTGGTAGATATATATACTATACGAGATATGTAGTTCCAAATTCCGCAAATAACATTTTCGTTTCACTATTTCTAAGCCAATAATGAAATAAACGTTTCCAAATAGAACCACAATAGGTCTTTTATACGGAATACAACATCATGAACATTCATCATTTTTAGAAGGAAAACCGAACTTGATGTCCGGCTGTGGTTAAAAAAAAATTAGTAAAACTTTGGTGTTTGGAGGACCTGGGTCTCGGGAAGTATAAAAAAATTTAAGTAATTCGGGTAATTCGGTAAAACCTACCTGTAGTAAAAATTTCAAATTTTTTCGACAGTTCGGTATGAATACAAACTTTTTACCTAGAGAAAACGGTTTGTATGTTTTTAATATTTAAAAAATCCGTTAGTTAAGACTTGAAATTAAACACTGATCATGATTAATGACAGTATCAAGCATTGACACCGAAATTATCCAAGGGCCATTAGAGCCCTGTGAATTTTTAGGAGTACTTCTCAAAACCCAAAATAGCTACATGCGTGATTTTTCAAAGACCCAAAGAGCCACAAACATAGGATTTTAAGAATTCAAAGGACCAACACAAACTAGATTTTTGAAAAATATGTTCCCAATCGTAGCAAGACCAATTTTTTTAGTTTAAAGAATATATGAAACGGAATTTTCAGAATATTTTTAAGGGCCACAAGCGTGTACATTTAATCATATTTGTCAGGACCAAGAAGTCAGACACAATAATTTAAAAAAGAGAAATACTCAGGAGCCCATATTTTTTGTTGTATATTTTAGAAAATACGATTCAAGGAAGAGCTGTATCAGTCCGTCTATCACCTCATGTTAATTTTTGATCGTACAACAGACCGCAATTATTTCCGAAATTTGGCACTGAATTTGGGTTAGGATCAAAATAGAAGACTATTTTTTTTTGGAGATGGCCGCAAGTTATTTTGTGGATAAATGACCAAGAACAAACATCTTCTTGATTTGACATTGAAGCGAACAAAAATTGCAGTCCAACCGCGAAAAGTTTTGATTCTGAAAATCACTTTTCGCAAAAATCTGGGCTTATTAGGATGATTAGTGCTTAAATAAAACAAATAGAATGAGGTTGTACTAGAACTTTCTTCACACTTTGCCAAGAAATCATCCATCTATACTACGGATGTCTGATTTGTTGGCAAGCGTGTGACACTAAATCGTATTTGTCCAAATATAAAAGTGGGGAGTCATTAAAAAACTCCTCAATTTGCCTTGAACTCCATTCAAAATCTCCTTGTTTTGGAACATCTTGTAAAATTTTATTAAGCGTTCCCCTAAACTCTCAAATTCTATTTCTGCATTCCGATCAAATTAACGTCCCTGCCCAAATTTTTTGATGTACATTTTACATTGTACAGGGGTCTCATACCCATTTAGACTACGGATGTCAAATCTGGCTGCAAGAGTGTTAAACTAAATCGTTGTTGTCTAAATATAAAAATGCGTAGCCATTAGAAACAGTCATCAATCTTCCTTGAACCTCATCCAAAATTTCCTTGGTTTCAAATTTTGTAGCAGAGCAATTAGGAGCATTTCCCCCTTCACGTCCAGAGCTCTCAAATTCTATACACAACGACAAGTCTTTAAATTTTAGGGCTCGAGCCCACTCGGTATTATTGTTGTTGTTTATGTACATTTTACCAGAAACAATTAGTTTTTGCTAGTTTGTTTCTTCGAACCTGTCAAGTTGAAATGAATGGGAGAGTGGTATACTTCCTTTCGCCTCCAAAGCGCATAAAGATACAGATGCAGGTACCTTCTGTTCAAGTCCCTCTCTCTTTCCACTTCACATAAAAGTAGCCTTACGATAATTTTCGAAATTCGAGCTATCGGAATATTGTCGAGTTGGGAAAGTACTTTGGAAGAAAGATATCAGGAAGTAACAACATTAAATGCTCATAGTCAAGCGATCATGAAGTCATCCCAATCAGGACACGGATATTACGAGGAAATTACTGACGAATTAGTTAGGGGTGGTACGAAGACGACGGATATACGAATCGATGACTAATATAATTCGTGCTTTATGAGTTCAGATAATTCAGCAACAACGAAGGATCTGAAGCCAATTTTGATAAGAAATTCTCGCGCCAACGCAAACGCTTGTTAATCCGTATAAACTTTGTACTCACAGGGATGGAGTTAAGGAGAACTTAACTACCTGACATCAAGCTACGTTGTCAATTTAGGTGAAAATCGTCAAAATACCAATATCAACACTAGAAAAAGCTCGAACTGTTACAAACTCCAAGTACGAAATTTGAAACAATTCCGTGGAAAAATGTCACGAGAATCATCACAATACCGAATATCGGGAGGTACCGTTATATAAAGCCTTAGAAAATCATGGACCCATTTAGAAACTAGTGGTCATTAGGAAGGCCAAGTACCAAAATGCAAACAATTTCGTAGGAAAATTTGGCCACAATCATCAAAATACAGATTATCGGGGGGTACCTTTCTATGGGACTATACGAAAACGTGGACCTACTCATACCACTTCCTTCATATAGAAACTTTTGGACAAACAAAAGATTTAACACAAAAATTTAAAATCAATTCCATTGAAAGACGTGGCTACAAACATCAAAATACCGAACATCGGGAGTTACCTTTCTTTGGGAGCTATACAAAAACTTAGGCCCATATAGGCCATTTTCTGTCTGAGAGTTTGGTATTCACTAAGAACTTTTAATACCAAATAATTCCCTTAGCCAAAGTGGCTACAATTACAAAATACCGAATATCGCATACATTTCTATGGAAGGACTATACGAAAACGCTGATCAGGAATATATATATATACATTGTGGGACTTTAAATTATTATTTCGATGAGCTACAAAAGGAATGGCAAACTAAACGTACCCTCCATACTATAATGCATGTTGAGAATATATATTAAATATATAATTCCTGATCAGAGTAAAATTCTAAGTCCATTGAGAATAAAAACATTGCCACTCAATTTTGGAAATGTGACCAAATTTTCCAATGAAATTGCCAATAACTTTGCATTTTTGGGGTCCTAATAGGTTTGAAATCTCTTAGAAGAAATGTGTCAATACAAGTTGACATACCAATACCGACCGATATTAGATATTTTCTAAATGAATCAGTTGTGACTTGACTATTAGCCATCTTGTTGGAGGGCAAATTATATCAAATTAATCCGAATAAAATTCTAAGTCAGAAATTTCCCAACATTTTCCAATAAATTTACATTTTTAGGGTCCTCATAGGTTTAAAATCTCTAATTAATATTTCCCAAAGGAATCAGTTGTGAGTTAGCTATTAGCCAGCTTTTTGGGGGTCAATCGATAACAAATTGAGTAGAATTTGGAATATTTAAGAATTGAGGCAGTCCCATATGCGAGGTTTACCTTTGCAGTCCAGTTGTAGGAACAAATTAAAATGCAACTCAAAGAACTAGTCAATACTTATTACATTACTATGTCTTGGGAGAGTTTTTTTTTAGAAATTAATTGAAAAGCGAAACTACTAGGAATCTATTTCCCTAACGAATTCCATTCTATATGTGTCTTCCAAACTTAAAAAATAATAATAATAACAACAAAAATTTGTAAATATTTGAATGGAGTTCCTATTTTCCTTCGAATCGACATGAGAAAACAGTCCTTTAAATTATGGAACTGACATTACTAAATATCTTAAATCTATATTTAAACAAAAGAAAATGTATTTCGTTTTTTTTTTCTTTCATTTATTTTTGAGGTGAATTTAATTCAAACATTTTATTTTTTTTGGGGTGATTATTTGAAATTGGTAGGAAATTTTATTTTTTTGTTCATTTTATGATACTTTTCTTTATTAAATAGTAAATGCCCGGCTTATGTTTTAAATCCTTTTTCGTTAAAAAAAAATCTTAAAGCATATCAACTTAAACCTTGCAATACTTATTGAAGATGAATGAGGCTTGGTGTTTGTTAAACATTAAACAAGAAAAGAAAATAAAAATTAATAATAAACGCAGTAGAAGAAGGCGGGTAGGCGAGAGAAATTAAGATGTTAACGACGAAAAAAAAACAAAAAAAGAGGGGCGGGGTTTTAAAAATGATATATTTTATGATGTTTTTGAATAATGAGAATGCTGATTTGTGGTTTGTTAGATTAACTTAAGAAATAGTATTGACAATATCGTCGATTTTCAAAATCGAACGTATGGTCTCGGTGGCCAGGGAGATGGCAGAAATGTTCACCAAAGCCGGTTGGACAACATTTTCAGCAAAGATATCGGTGATGGCTCCCTTGCGCACATTAATGCCGGCATTCTTTTCAGCCTGGGCATGACGATTGCGCAATTCTGTTACAGTGGCAATTGGGTTGAGGCCAGCATTTTCGGCCAATGTCGAGGGAATAACTTCAAGGGCTTCGGCGTAGGCACGGAAACAATAGGCATCAACACCCTCAACGGTCTGGGCATAGGCAGCCAATTGAAGAGCCATTTCAATTTCTGGGGCACCACCACCCACAATCTGGGCACGTTTCTTAACCAAACAACGGACAACGCACAAGGCATCGTGCAGAGAACGGGCAGCTTCTTCCAATACCAATTTGTTGGAACCACGGCAGACAATGGACACAGTGCGACCAGGGTTTTGGATGCCAGTGATCTTAACAAACTTGTTGGTGCCACTGGAAACCTCTTCAACCAAATCGGCGTTGACGAGATTTTCAGCAACGAAATGATCCAGGGAGGCAATGGGACGACAATTCAACGTTTTACAAACGAATTCGATGTCCTCACGTTCCACATCCTTGACGACCAAACACTTGATTTTGTCCAAGAAGTGTTGGGCCAAATCAGAGACAGCATCACTGTGTTTTGTAGAAGGGGGGGTTTGTTTTGGCATTTAGTAATTTTTAACAAAAAAAAAAATAAAAAAAAAATTGAAAAAATTGATTTAAAAACTTACCGCAAAATGGATTTTTGGACCAACAAAACATTGCAGCCAGCCTTCTTGATTTGTTTGACAATATTGAGAATGTAGGCACGCTCTTCTTTCAAGACACGATCCATGGCGGCATAATCCGAGACAATGACACTGTGGTCCATCTGTAATAAAAAAAAAACGTTTGCCAATAATGACTTTCCAACCAAAACAATTCTAAAGAATTAAAACCTACATCAGTTTTTGGTGCCGAAATGCAGAATTGGATCAAACCAATCTTGGCCTTTTCAATGCGCTTGGGAGCATTAACACCAGCCGAGCGTGAGGTAAATACCAAACCCTCAACCAATTCTGTGTCCTCGACGGTACCACCCAAACTGCGAATAACTTTGATATTCTTCAAATCGACAGCACCCTCCTTGCCGGGCTCGGTGACACGCAAAACAGCATCAACAGCAATGGGTGCCAACAGACTACTCTGTTGTGACACCACCTTGGAATTCAGTGAAGTTGAAGCACTCTTAATCAACGTTTCACGATCGGTCAAAGCAATTGGTGTCGACATGTCATTGATGATCTCAATGGCCTTATTGGCACAACGTTGGAACGAATCCGAGATGGCTGTGGGATGGATACCCTTGTGCAACAATTTTTCACAAGCTTCCAACAAAGCGCCAGCAATAACAACAACCGAGGTGGTACCGTCACCAGCTTCAACATCTTGAGCGCGAGAAAGTTCGACCAACATTTTGGCAGCTGGATGCAAGACATTCATTTGCTTCAAAATGGTGGCACCATCGTTGGTAATGGAAACTTCACCGTTCGAGGCTTGGATCATTTTGTCCATGCCACGGGGACCCAAACTGGTACGAATGGCATCGCAGACAGCTGTAAAAGAAAAGAAAGTTTTTCTATTTAGAAATATAAAGATATTTAAAATTTAATAGAAATTAATAAAATTTAATAACAAAACTAAAAAAAGTAATTCTGGACAGATAACATCATAGTTTTCGGTAGAAACTTCAAATTATTTTAAGGAAGTCCCGATTGGTGCGTAAAAGGTCACTAAAACATATAAAAAATACTTTTCAACTATACTTTTTACTTGTTAAGCCATTTTTTCAGGAAAGTCGCTGATGATGCGAAATAAGATATGTTTTTTGAAAATTCATACTAGGACGCAAAAATTGTTTTGGCACTGAATTTAACAGTTTTAGTATTTAAGTCCTTAAATTTCATACCATCATCAGATGTCTAACTTTGTTTAATGAGACAAACCCTATCAGCGATATTCGATTTTTGGTACTAAAAATAAAATAGCATTACTACGATAACCGATTTTTCTTTTATGATATCGAAAACAATTGCAAAACTAGTAGATTCTTGCAGATTATGGAACAGAACAATATTCAGCAATACATTATATACCAATTTTCAAAAAAAAAAAAAGAATTAAATAAATAATTCGTAAAAAATTGGGTTAGGGATACCAAATATCGGGAGGAAACATAATTATAGTGTTATATGAAACCCTGAAACAATTTAGATAATTTCCTTCAGGAAGAGATATTACGCATTAGGAACTTCAAATACCAAATTTCAAACAATTTTATTAAATCATTCTAAATCCGATAATCAGGGGATGCAAGCCAATTGGCAAGTGTATGTGTTTCGACAGTCTAGGAGCCCTTAAGATACTCAAGCCTCTCTATTCAGATAGTTCCAAGATGAATGAATTCACGAAATGAAGACATGTGTAGCGTTTTCAATCTGAAATTCTCGCAATAAGGGTGTATAGCGATAGTCGCCCTAAAAGTACTCAAATCAAGTACCACAACATCTCAACTAACTTGGACACGACAACATTGCAGGGAATAAAGTGGCTCATGACAGCCGCTTGATCTACCGATCAAGTGTTTTCAAGGTATGTCGACACTCTAGGAGCCCTTAAGGTACTCATCAAGCCAAGATCCAGGATCTCTAGTTATTTATGATTTTAAAATGGATGGTCTTTCTCTCTGTACAGACAGTTCCAAGATAAGTGATGTCTCTGGCACAAGCTTATTGACAAGTGTAGCGTTTTCCGTCTAAAATTTTCGCAATAAGGGTTTATAAGGATAGTTAGAGCAGCCTTAAAGTACTCAAGCCCAGTACCCCAACCTTACCTCTATAGATCTGAAAACACGAGAGGATTATCTACATGATGAGGCGAAAGTCTTTCCCGTACGTAAAGGTGTTATTGTGAGGAGAGTTATCCAAACCATAATATGGTGGATAAAACTTCCCCACCCAGACGTGTCAGGAAAGACATACCTGATCTATAGAGGGAGGTCCAATGCTATAAAATAGAGCTTATGGATCCAGAAGCCTATCAAGCGGGTCTGAGTGGAATGAATACTGATGCAGTCACAGATACCATCCATGACAGTTGAAGAACGTCTGCTTCATTGACATGTTTTGACGTTTAAGATGCTTTAGTCGTCTCAATTCGTATAGGGCACGAATTGACAAAGAGGTGCGAAAGGTCTTCCCGCATATCCACAATACGCTGCACCTGTCTAATTGCCCTGGTCTTCCACAATACGCTGCACCTGTCTAATTGCCCTGCCAGGTCTACCCCACTCACTCCAGTGGATCTTTGGTTATAGCCTGCGAAGATAACCGAGTTTTTAAACCTTGGATAAGAATCCGATTAAAGAGGTCAAACGAAATTTATTACCACAACAACAGCCGATCGACTGTCTCAAAAAGTTCCTCCCGAATAGACTGACTGCTAGAGATCGGTTGAAATATATATAAGGCTATCGGGCCACACATCTTGAGAAGAGAGACCCGTTCCTGATACCACCTATTCTATCCTACATCAAACCCTTCTTTTCCCACTTCGTACCTTCATCATCACCTTCTCAAATCAAACTTCTGTTTAGGAATCCAAAATGAATACATTGAGAGCATATAGGTCCCCTCGCAGCTCGATCGTAAAATTTCACCACTGGTTCTCCAAGGGGTCCTCAGTACTACAGTAACATTTTTTTCTTGGGGAGATCCACACTTAAGAGTTACGGTCCTTTGAAGTTCTCGGCGTATTACCAGTGTTGGTAAGACAAACCATAACAATTTGGGAATAAATGTCAGAATCTGTCCATAGATGAAAGTTCTAAATCCACGGGCGAGGGCCGTATATTTACTCGCTTAGCCAGTGTCGGTATCTGTACACTGCACTCATTGATATCCAATTGCTTTGGCTGGTATTACAAGCAATCAAAATATATACCAGGACTTCAGAGGCCCATGACTCCGGAAGTATGGAAATTCCCCAGAAAAACCATTGTAACCCCAATCTAAGGACAATGAAAAGGTAAATTTTACATAATAATGGCCTAGAGGGACTTAAACCTCTATTTTTCCACACATTGGGCCAATGGTTTTCGAGTGAAATAACCATAATTCAGGTATTTGCGAATTTTGAAACCAAGCCGAATTGTTAGTTGATTGTTCTTAAGACTTCGTCTAATGCTGACTCATATTTTCCGCCGACAGATGGTCAAAGATGCTGAGATCCATCTTGCCTCATGTCGATGTCAGCACACAGAAGAAATTTAAAATTTAACTTGGGGATCCAATCTACTTGACTATAGGCCGGGATACAATATAGAGCGGTGTCAACTCTATCTGGACAATAATCAATAGGAATGACCCCCTCAAAAGCAATTTTATTTTACAACTGCATCTTCAATAGCCACAATCAATTTCGAACGCCACAATGACAGCATCCGCTTCCCTTGAAAATACAAACATCATGGATGACCGAAGTTGGTAAATATAACCTCTTTAATTTAATTTGCTAAACTTCTCGTTCTGATTGGAGCAAATCTAGCCACAGCTGTTCTGATTAACAATGCATAGCCAAAATGACGTCATAATGTCAACAATTCGGACTGATGAGACAGACAAGACTCTCTTGAAGATCAAAAATTAACACTTTTGATATAAAAATTGCCCAAACAATTCTTTTTATGTCAAAAATTCATAATTTTCACCAAAAAATTCAAATCACATGAGTCATTTTTCTATCGGGGCACATGTCGAAAATTCGAGAGGAGACTCCTTGCCGAGAGCGTACCCCTCTCAGCCATAAACCACAACACAACACCAACTCAAACGATTTGTCACAACCGGCAGTCGATAAAACCGTTCTCTACGCCTTTGTTAATTAAAATTGCATTTTTTTCGGAGGCGGCAGCACAACTGTTTAATAAATTCACAAATTCTAGCACATCTATGGAAAATTTTTGCAAAATGTTTTTCAAATCACTTAATTTTCTTTTCAAATTATCCATTTTAATTGGCACTTTCTCATTATTGTTTTATTTTTTCCATTAAATTCCAACAATTTCTAACCTTTGGCAGCCTGAATATTCGATAGACGGACATCCTGGGGTTTCGATTTATCTTTGAAGGCTTGACCGACCGGTTTCCGGGCAACGTTTCCTGCTTTCGGTGCCATGATTTTGTTAATTTTTTATTCACTTAATTTGTTTTTATTGATGTTTTTGAAAATCTTGAGATTTTTTGCGATTAATTCGGCACTTCAATTTCAACAGAAATTTTTGCTGCTGTCACGGAGAAAATCTAGTGAATTTCTGTCTGGGCGGTAACGGTATTATCGACCATGTGCCATATGCCAGTTTTTGACATTTTGCAATTGGGAAGTGTTTGGAAAACGGCCAGAAAGTAGGTATGCGTAGTTCGATTTAAGTGAATCACTGATGTGTGTCATTAAAAAAGTTGAACTAGTTTTAAATTAAAACGATTTATTGTGAATTTTATGATCCTAATAGATAACTTAGATTAAATTCTTCTCTTTATAGAGGGTATAAAAGTCGTGAAAATTACAATATATTTCTCGTTCCTTGTCTCCTAAAGAACTAGTTTCAAAATAGATTTCCTTTTTTTCCATTTGAATAAAGTTCATTAGAATCCTTCTCTTTCATCGTTTGTTTACTTTTTATCGTAGTTTTTTTTTATCTAAAATTAAATTTTATTTTCCGTTTACAGTAACAAAATTTAAAAATAATGGTTTGAAAAATCGCATTCATCATAGCACTCCGTAGTGCAGAGCGAACATTAAAGACGATAACTAGTTTTACCATGGAAGTGAAAGGTTGATTAGTTTGGATCATGCAGGTGGCGTACAAGTACTCCTCCTACAGAAAATGCTATACATTTCACGACTGGTCTCTAGTGTCTGTCAAGTACATACAGGGTGAGATGAAAAAATTGCAACCAAATTCAGACTGTCGTCGACAAGTTCTTCGTGTTGGAATTCAAGCGTGATAGTGTGATTTCTTTATATTTGACTGGAAAACCATAAGTGGCTATCGTTAGAGCACTCCAGCATTTAAATGTGAATAAATCTTTCGCGTCTCGTACCATCGCTCGTTACCGTGATACTGGTAGCGTAGCCCGACGTCAAGGAAGTGGACGGAAGAAACCAGCAACATCAGCAGAAATGGTTCTAAAAGAAAAGAAGCGACTTGATCGAAACCCGCGTCGCAGTGGCCGAAAAATGGCTCGTGAGCTGAACATATCGCAATATTCCATTCGGCAAATATTGAAAAATGAGCTCGGGGTAAAGCCATTGAAATTCCGAAAAGTGCAAGAACTTACACCGCAACAGAAAGAAAACAGACTCAAAAGAGCTAAAGAGTTGCTTCGGCTTTCTCCGATGAGAAAACATTCATTGTCCAGCAATTTGTAAACAAACAAACTGATCGTGTTTACTTGTCAAAGAGGCCAGCTGAAACTGTGCACCTTCTGTTGGCCACCAGAACTAAAGTGCCGGCCATGGTAATGGTGTGAGCCGACATAACAGCCGATGGTCGCTCTCCGCTCGTATTAATCGACCGTGGCATCAGATTAAATGTCGAATTTTATCGCGAAAATATTCTGGAAGGTGTATTAAGGCCTTGGGCACGCAACCATTTTGGCCGCATACCTTGGACATTCCAACAGAACTCAGCACCATCGCACTTAGCACGCGCCACCCAAGAATGGCTCCTCGCTTCATTTCCAGCGCACAATGGCCACCAAAATCTCCGGATACCACTCCCTTGAAGTATTGTGTCTGGAATATTTTGAAAAGCAAGGTTGGCACTAAAAAATACCAAAGTATCGATCACCTCAAGCAAGCGCTTCACCGGAAATGGGCCAAAATACCGCAGAGCAACATTCGGGCAGCGTGTGACGGTTTCATTGGCCGTTTGAAGGCCATAATTCATGCCAAAGATGACCAATTCGAACAAATCTAAACTTATTCTAAAATTTTATGCTACCTCCGACATTTTGCTTTCATTTAATAACATTTAAAAAATTGTAAAAATTATGGACACAATAATTTTGAATGAATCTGACACGAAGCGGGCATAGCCTCAGGGCTGTATTTATGTAGTTTTACGAAGCTGTTCTATCTCTTTATTGTGCCATGTTTATAACTACAAATTTAGACAATGGGATGTTGTCAAATAAATAATTTCGGAAAAAATTGTAAACATATATGAGCTTTGAGCTATGAGTATGAGCTTTTAGAAAGATTTGGTATATGGCAACCCTTCAAGCATGGTACAATGAAGACAAGATAGGCTAACTTTAAAAAAATGCAAGTATAGAGGTCTACTTGTTTGGCTTGTAATGTCGGAACTACTATCAAAACAACCAAAAAACCAAATAACTTGTTGCATAGATTTTTAATAAATGATTGAAAATGGCGAAATCAATCAATCAAAATCATGTTCTATATATCTCTAAAGGTTTATTTCGCTACAAAATCTTTAGATTAAAACCATATCTTATCATGGCCCTACCTTCCATCGATGGCAGAAGAATACAGGTAGATGCATCAACGCTTGGGAGCATTGATATGTCAAAAAAATTAAATGTTTTTTGCAAATATAAGTAGATTTTTATATGTTTCATTATAATACGTCAGTCGGGGGCTATTAAAATTCGCGTTTTTCAAAAATTTTCACAAATTTAAATAATTTTTCATTCAACATTTTCAATTCCAAAGTTGGTTTGACCGTTCATTGTCCCAGCAGCTGTGTCGACGCTTCTACCTATGTTCTTCTACCATGGTTTCCTTTTTTTTTTTTTGGACTCGATAGTTGATTTTTTCGTCAAGAAGTAATTGTAGTAGTATTCATGTACCAATGGTTTCCTTTATATTGCAGTTAAAAAATTTGTCCATTCTGTTATCTCATCATTTGTGATGTAAACATGCCATTAAACTTTTCGTTGCGAAAAAAAATCGATGGGACGAAAGTCGACCTACACACCCCTTATTCACATGCCCACTTTTTTCCAATTAGAAGATTTTTTCGACGGCGGGTTGGTTTTTGTTCTTTTGGGTTTACGAGTAAAATTACATAAATTAAATAAATTTTGTGAATTAAATAGTGTTTCGAATCGACAAAATTGTATGCAAATCAATTAGGTTTTTATTTGTTTTAATAAATTTGCAATAAATTCGTGCTCTCAACACACTAGGAGAGCAATAAACAACGAAAAAAGAACAGAATAGTGAGTAAAGGTTAGTGGGTAATAAAAAAGACTGAAAACTGAATGACAACTGGCGGTGGCGGTGTGAAAAGCAGCTGCATTGCAAAAAATGTGTGATAAATCAATGTTGAATCAAAGTGTTAATTTTTTTGCATTTTCAGAACAGTAGGAGTGACTTCCCAGCCACAAAACAGCAACAACAACCACACACACAACACCATGTCCACATCCTTGAAGTTTGGCAATGTAAAGCTAACCAAATGGCAATTGGCCCTGCTGATAGGTACTCCATTGGCCATTGGTGCGGGTATTTATGTTTATCGCAAGGTAAATGCTCCCTCCAGCAGTTCCGATGAGAGTGGCAAAAAGAAACAAAAGGCTTTGGATGCGAACAAACAATCCCTGTCCATTGATGGCACCACCGAAGACAAGGAATTGGAAAAGAAAAAGAAGACTGTGGAATTGGAGAATGAAAAATTGTCTCCCCTCAAGGAGGCCACCATGTTCAAGAACGAGGGCAATGCTTGTTATCGTAATGGTAAATTCGATGAAGCCATTAGCTTTTACGACAAAGCCATTGACAAATGTCCCAAAGATAATAAAACCGATTTGGCAATTTTCTATCAAAATCGTGCCGCCAGCTATGAAATGTTACGCAAATGGCCAAAGGTAAAGGAGGATTGTACCAAATCGCTGGAATACAATCCACGTTATGCCAAGGCATATTTCCGTCGTGCCAAGGCTTATGAGGCCACCAATGAAATCTCTGAATGTTTGGATGATGTCACAGCCACGTGCATTTTGGAAATGTTCCAAAATAACAATACAATTTTATATGCCGATCGCATTTTGAAACAGACGGGACGTGAAGATGCCGAAAAGGCAATTAAGGATAAGAAACCTGTACTACCGTCGAAGAGCTTTATTAACACCTATATGCGTTCCTTTGTCTCGGATCCAATTATGACAATGACTCTGCCCGAGACATTGGATAAGTCGCATGGTTTCGGTCGTGCCAAGCAGGCCTTGGACAGTGAAAAGTATGAAGATATTGTTGCGGCCTGTACCGAAGAACTGGAATCATCTGAATCGGAATCACAATATAAGACGGAAGCTTTGCTGTTACGTGGTACTTTCCATTTGATTTCGGGCTCTTTTGTGGAGGCTCAACAGGATTTGGATGCTGTGATCAATAATGGTGAGTGGTTGAATTTTGAAACCAGAAATTTGAAGAAGGGGCTCAACTACTGCACGATAAATGAGTTCGGAGCTCAGATATTTTACAACAGAACAGCTGTGGGCTAAAATAGTTTATTATAGATGAGCTGTATGAGCTTTGAGCTCACCTATTTGGCAATAGATGAGCTTTGAGCTCACCTATTTGGCAATAGATGAGCTATGAGCTCACCTATTTGGCAATAGATGAGCTTTGAGCTCACCTATTTGGCAATAGATGAGCTTTGAGCTCACCTATTTGGCAATAGATGAGCTTTGAGCTCACCTATTTGGCAATAGATGAGCTTTGAGTTCACCTATTTGGCAATAAATGAGCTTTGAGCTCGCCTATTTGGCAATAGATGAGCTTTGAGCTCACCTATTTGGCAATAGATGAGCTTTGAGCTCACCTATTTGGCAATAGATGAGCTTTGAGCTCACCTATTTGGCAATAGATGAGCTTTGAGCTCACCTATTTGGCAATAGATGAGCTTTGAGCTCACCTATTTGGCAATAGATGAGCTTTGAGTTCACCTATTTGGCAATAGATGAGCTTTGAGCTCACCTATTTGGCAATAGATGAGCTTTGAACTCACCTATTTGGCAATAGATGAGCTTTGAACTCACCTATTTGGCAATAGATGAGCTTTGAGCTCACCTATTTGGCAATAGATGAGCTTTGAGCTCACCTATTTGGCAATAGATGAGCTTTGAGCTCACCTATTTGGCAATAGATGAGCTTTGAGCTCACCTATGAGCTTTGACCTCTTCTATGAGCTTTGAACTCACATAAGAGCTTTGAGCTCACTTATGAGCTTTGAGCTCACCTATGAGCTTTGATCTCATCTATGAGCTTTGAGCTCACCTATGAGCTTTGAGCTCACCTATGAGCTTTGAGCTCACCTATGAGCTTTGAGCTCACCTATGAGCTTTGAACTCACCTATGTACTTTGAGCTCACCTATGAGCTTTGAGCTCACCTAAGAGCTTTGAGCTCACCTATTGATCAACTATTTGACAATAGATGAGTGATAGATAGATGAATGCATAGGTGAGTTCCAAGCTCATCTATTTTCCGAAATTTCTTTGGCCATAGATGACCTTTGAGCTCATCCAAATAATCTCTGCCGCCATATATTCTCATTCCTAAAATTAGCCAATGTCTATTTTTCAAAATCTTATCAACTGATGTCCTCTGAAACGAATTCTGTAAACAAAATGCATATTTTTCTTTTTTGCAGATGACGCCGATAAGAAGTTACGTACATATGCCTTGATAAGACGTGCCTCGCTTTATATTCAACAAGAAAACAAAGATGCCGGTATTGAAGATTTCGCCAAAGCCCAGAAACTGCAACCTGAATGTGCCGATATCTATCATCAACGGGCGCAAATCTTTATTTTATTGGATCAGCTATCTGAAGCTTTAGATGATTTTGAAAAGGCCGTGAAGTTGGCACCCAGTAATGCCATGGCCTATGTGCAAAAATGTTATGCCGAATATCGTGTTGCTCTTATGTCACAGGATCAAATGCGTTTAATGATGGTTATGAATGAGTTCAAGAATGCCGTCGAAAAATATCCCGACTGTGTGGAATGTTATAGTTTGATGGCTCAGGTGTTGAGTGATCAACAACAATTCCCCCAGGCGGAACAATTCTATGAGAAGGCCATGAAATTGGCTCCCGATAATGCTTCGTTGCTGGTACATCGCGGTATTATGAGCCTGCAATGGAAGGGCGACATTGCCCTGGCCATTGAATTGATGGAGAAGGCAATTGCAATTGATGATAAATGTGGTTTGGCCTATGAGACATTGGGCACCGTCGAGGTGCAACGTGCCAACTTGGATAGGGCTGTTGAGCTGTTCGAAAAAGCAATTAAATTGGCTAAGAGTCAGGCGGAAATGTGCCATTTGTGTGCCCTGAGAAACGCTGCAGTGGCTCAAATAAATGTTACACGTAAACTGGGCATACCCATGTCCTCAATATCCGCCCTGGCGGAGGCGAGCATAATGGGTCAATCGGCACAAATGGCAGGAAATTAAGTTTAAGTTTCTCCTCCTTCTTCTTTAAATTATTCTATGATTTTCTAAAAACAAAAATGACTAAGGCATTAACTTAAAATATTCCGAAAGGACACAGCCATACAAATATTTTAATTTCATGCGAGAAATAATTTAGGGCCTGTTTCTGTTTGGCGATTCGAAATTGAACTCAAAGGAAAAGACTCCAAGTACTTCAGGATTTTTGAACAAAAATTTAAATTTGGAAAATATACAAAACATGGGTGTGGTTCTTTCGAGTCTACTTTCGAATCGTCATGGGAAAACATGTCATTATTTGGACATTTGAGGAGTTCCCTGTTTTTTTTTAGGGAATTCAAATGTCTAGCCCCTTTTCTTGTTTAGACCAAAATGCATTAAACCACATTTATAGAGTTTAGTTATGTTTTAAAAGTTCCCGCCAAATCTATAGAGGAAATAATCTGTTTACTTTTGCTTTCAGAAAAAAATGGACTTGTATGGATTGTCCATTCACAATCGACAATTAAAGTATTTTTAATTTAATACTTTTATTGTTGCAATAATTTTGTACCATAGTATTTTTGTATAGTTTTTAAATTAATTAGTTGTTGAGTCATAAATTGTTTTATTATTTTTTTTTTTTTTTTTTTTTGGGCAGTAAATTGCCCCCGACCTTATCACAAATGCACTGATTTTTGAAGACATTGTTCACATATATTTCTATACGTTAATTTTTTGATTATCGTCAGAGTTTATCGGAAATCCTTTGTTGTTTTTCTTATTTTTTGATTGGTTTTCTTTCACATAGAAAACTATATTATACTATAATAATTACAGTTAAAATAAAATTACTGTTAAAACAAACTAAGATTAGACCAAATAACCAATAACCATGAATAATTATTTCAACTTAATAAAAAATAAATTATTAAACTTTAAGGATATTTGTTATTTTTCTCCTTTCTCCATTAAAAATCTGTTATGGACTGGTCCTGAAAGGAGTTTTTTTTTAACGGAAAAACTTGGTTTTTAGAGGAATTATACAGATAGAAGATAAATAAATGGGGTACTGTATGTAGGCCGAATTTCATTGTATTTTATAGTCGATCTGTTCTAAGAAAGTTTGTTGAAAACGAGATGGGATGGATCTGACGACTTTTATGGCCAAGCATTGTGATATATCTATACTCTAGAGGGAGTATTTATACCCTATACAACATAGTGGTCAGGGTATTATGTCTTTGTGGCTTTCTTTGTAACATGGAGAAGGAAGCGAGATTGACCCATAGTTACTTTTGAGGATCTTCATAGAGCCACATTCTGAGTCGATATATCCGATTGAGATTAAATTTTTCAAAAAAAATATTTCTTTGGCCCTAGGACGAATCCTATTGAAATTGGTGATAATCGGTTCAAACTTAGATATAGCTCCCATATATATCTTCAACCGATTTCGGGTTAATTGTGCAACAAATGGCTAATATAAGTCCAAATAACCAACAATTTGGCACATCTCACCGAATTCAGTCTAGAAACAAGTACAAATATGTTTTATACGATTTGGTGTTAAAGTTCCTCATATACGTAATATGCACTTCACAGCAATGATCTTTGGTACCAGATATCAGACACTGCTCGAAAATACCTCTGTCAAATTTTATCGAGATCGGTTCAAATTTAGATATAGCTCCCATATATATCTTCAACCGATTTCGGCTTAATTGTGCACCATATGGCCAATATCAGTTCAAATGACCTAAATTTTGGCACATACGACCGAATTTAGTCTAGAAGCAAGTACATCAAATTTGGAGGAAATCGGTTCAGATATAGCTATAGCTCCCATGTATATGTTTTATCCGATTTGGTATTTTAAGTCGCTCACATGCGTGAAATGCACTCCACAAGAATGATGGACATCAGATGCTGCTCGAAAATACCTCTGTAAAATTTTATAGAGATCAATTCAGATTTGGATATAGCTCCCATATATATCTTACACCGATTTCGGGTTAATGGCCAATATCAGTTCAAATGACCTAAATTTTGGCACATACGATCGAGTTAGCTATAGCTCTCCTATGTATGGGATTTGTTAAATTTCTCCCCACAGCCGTTACATACATTCCGCAACAACGATATTTGGAAAAATATATCAAATATAGCTCAGAAATAAATTTGCCAAATTTTATAGAGATCGGCTCAGATTTGGATATAGCCCCCGTATATAGCTTCACTCCATTTCAAGTCTATTGTCCACCAAATGGCCCGAATTGAATGGATACGAACAAATTCCTCATGGATGAAAGTGTATCAAATTTTGGTGAAAATCGGCTATAGGTCCCATAAGTATGTTTCATCCGATTTTGTATTTTACTTCCTCACACCCGTAAAATACTCCGATTTTACGGTTATTGTTCACCGTATATATAATATCCACCCAAATTGGATAGATTTATCATATTTAACCAAATTTTTCTTTTTGTTGAAACTCCGACCGGTATATCTATTGCTCCAATAAATATTTTTTTAATATAGTGCTTATCGAAGTCATATCATGCACTATACAGCAATGTTTTTTGGTTCATATTTAGTATGTTCTATCTACTGGGTGGTGAGGACAATTTTGAAATGATCTCATGAAATCGTATTAAATTTATTTGTGACTCATGAAGTTTCTATATCATGGAAATTGGAAATTATATTCAGTTTTAAGAAAAGCTTGATAAATTCCCGCAATAAATACAAAATTTAGATGGAAAAATACTTATAAATCAGCAATTATAACTCTTATAGTCATTGGGAATTTTTCATATAACCCCACAATTATAGCTCTAAACGCAGTTGCAAAATATTCTTAAAAATCCACAATTATAGCCTAAATAACTCTTGGAAATTATTATTAAAAACGCACGATATTCCTCGGAAAATTGTCATGAAAATATTAACGATTATAGCTCTTATAACCATTCAAAATATATTCTCAAAATATCAATATATCTCAAATTCATTTAAAAATATTTGTTAAAAGTTTATGGTTTAACTCTGATAATATTAGTCAATATTCCCATTTAGTGAGTTTTGTACAAAGGCGACATCTATACTTGAAATACAATAATGAAATCAAACTTATTTAAATTCACCACTTCGAGGAAAATACACCACTTAGTAAAGTAAATTCCAAAGCAAGCCATTTGAAAAAAACGAAAAGTTTTTCAACATTTGCAGCATATTGAATATATAACCAACACTAAAGGAAACAAAGACCCGACGACAAAATAATTTTATCGAAACAACGAAACTCGTTGAATCTTTGTAAGCAATGGAACGGAAACGGACATAATAATGCAAAATCATACGACAGCAGGAAAATGGGATTGTAGCTGATTGAAATATTTTTAATAAGAATATTCTTTTTAATTTTTACATAATTTAATATTCTTAATATTTTTCCAACATATGTATCCGTGGGTTTTTTTTAATTTCTTTTTGAGGTTATAATCGTGTTATATTTGTTTATCATGGATTTTTAATATTTTTTATGGTCTTAATCAAGGATTTTTAAAATATCTTTTTAAGGGATATCAGGGCTATTTTTTTTTTTTCAAGTACTATAATCGGAGATTTTTCAATTTTTCTAATGGATATCAAGTCTGTAATCGTGGATTTTAATATTTTTTCAAGAACTCGAATCAAGAGGCGAAATCTCGTATTTTTAAAATATATGTTCATGACCTACCAGGGCTACGAACGAGAATTTTTAAACCTTAAACCATAAATATATTTTCAAGGGCTATTAGATTACAGTCGTGGTTTTTCAAAATATTTTTTTTCCATGCCAATCGGGGCAAATGCTGTAATAGTGCAATTTATAAAATAAATTTTCAAGGGATATTAAAAATATAATATTGTATTTTTAAATTAATTTTTCAAGGGCTAATCAAATTATTTACGTGGATTTTTTAAATAATTTTTCAACGCTTTTTAACTAATAATCGTGGATTTTTTTAAAGTAATTTTTCAAGGGATTTTTTCAATAATCGTGGATTTTTAAAATAATTTTTCAAGGGGATTTAAACCAAAAATCGTGGATTTTTAAATATAATTTTTTTAGGGCTTTTTAACCAATAACCGTGGATTTTTATTTCAAAATGATTTTTCAAGGGCTTTTTAACCAATAACCGTGAATTTTTTAAATAATTTTTCAAGAGCTTTTTAATCAATAATTGTGGATTTTTTAAATAATTTTTCAAGAGCTATTAAAACAAATCAAATCTATAATAAAATTATATTTAATATGCAACAAAAAGTTATAATGGTGGATTTTTTATATAATTGGGGTGAAATATCAGAGCTACATTTGTGGATTTAATAAATAGTTTTTCAAGCCCTATAAGAACGTCAATTGTGAATTTTTAAAAATTTTCAAAACTTTAATCGTAGGTTCTTTTTTAATATGCAGACTTTTGCATTTTTTTATTATTTCTTAAGGCTAACGGAAACAAAATGGTGATTTTTATTGAATAACTTTCAAAAACTATCGAACTTTTTTAAAATATTTTTATATAATTGTATATTTTATAATATTTTCCAAGCACTATCAGAGGCATAATAGAGGACTTTGCAAGTATTACAAATTAGGTATGTCAATATATAATAACATATTTATTCAAATCCCACTTTTATCAAACTTGCCAAGGTTGTGTTAAAGTATCTACGCAGAGTAGAGTTCTGTTTTTAATTAATTTCGTTGAAAAACAATACATTTTAGAGGCAACCCTGCAATAAAAAATGTCTTCCGTTTTCTATGGCGCTCTCAAATACAATTCTATCTGACTCATCTCTTTTTTTTTCTACTCTTAAATTAAGTTGTTGTAAAAGATCTCAGTTTCCTTTGTTAGCTCTTTCAATTTAACATAGAGAGAAGTTTTGCTTTATGTGAGAAGACAAGAGTTTTTTTAATTCCTTTCTGAGACAAAGAAGAGATAAATCTGAATACGAAAAGACAATAAGCTTACCTTATTGGGAAGGGGAAACACCAAACACAATTCAGCAAACCGTTATAATTTGATACACAACACAAAATGCATACACTAACACACGCG